GACATCACATCGCATTGGATTGCATTGCATGACATTTATTAACTACATTACATTACGTACAACATACATGGTACATGGCATGTGTAGACAGTGCATTCACTCATTGGTTCCGTCCGCCAGCCATCCGGTGGAACTCGTTCATGCATTCATTTCCAAGTCTGTACTACTTTCTAGCGCCAACGCGCGCTGTGTGGCGCTTTGGAGCGCTGGTGGATATAGGTTGTGCATGGCGAGGGGAAACAAGAACAACTTCCTACACACACGATTCCGACGTTTTTTGGGGCCGACCTCAGGCGCCGCCCCAGGCGCCGCCCCACGCCTTTCACCGGCCCCGGGTGCGGCGGGTGCGGCGGCTTCGGCGGCTTCGGCACGAGCCGTGCGGCTCGGGGCGGCGGCGCGGCCGGTGGCGGGCAGTGTGCTGCCGGTGCAGATCCAAGGCGCGCAGGCGCGGTGAGAGGTGGCAGAGGGGGACCCTGCTCTTGGCGATCGGTGCGATGTGAGTGGGAATGAGCTCATTAAAACAATTCCAACTGGTGGTTTCCTTTTGAATGGTGCGATAGCTGGGGAATGAGACATGGAATGATTCTTATAAACCAGGTTTGGAGGGGACCCCCCCCTGTTCTTGGCGATCGGTGCGAGAGGTAGGGAAGGAGAGATGGAATGACGGGATTTGTTGGGGAAATCGGGTGCGATGTGAGTTGGAATGACCCCCACAAAGCATCCAAAAGGCGGTTTCCTTTTAGGGAATGGTGCGATAGGTAGGGAATGAGAAATGGAATGACGAGACACACCATGCAACTGGTGGTTTCGTTTCAGGGATTTTTTAGGTTCATTCCATTTCTCATGCCCTACTGAGCACCAGCAAGTTTTAGTAGGTTGGTTCGTACGGGAAACCAAAGAGAAAGCCGGTGAGGGTCCTATTTTGAGAGATGCAGTGAGGCCGGCTTGGGCGAACCGAGCCCTCTCTCACAGAAGCGTTGTTCGACCTCAAATTCTTTCATAGGGGACTTTCAAGCGTCGGGAGATTTCTTGGGAACAGTGGCGCATCAGCAAGGTGCTTGTCACACTTTGCTTCTTTTGCGAAGGTTGATTCACGGCAGCAACTGGCGTGGCAGCGAAGGATGTCAAACCCCTACAGCCATGTTGAATCAACTTTGAATTTCCAAGAGATGCATGACACATTGCTTTGGTTGATGAACTGCAATGCGCCATGTATGGCTCGAAAAGTGCATGTCTGGATCTGCTTCACCGTGCCCATCAGAGCCCTTCCAACACTTTAAGGTTCCAAGAGCCCTTCTTCGACTTTGTTGGGGGCTGTTGGGCCTTGACACGGGGTGGGGCCGCGAGTCTCCGAGGGGCGCTCCGCGGTGGTGCGGCTGGTGCCCTGGGGCCTCGCCTGCCGGGCAGCCTTGGCCTTGGGCCGGGGCTCCTGCGCGCTGAAGCTGCCGCGCCAGGAGCGCTCGGACCGGACTGTCGGAGCGGATCGGAGCGGACTGTCGGAGCGGAGCGGTCGATTGGGCGAGTTGAGACGGGAGAAAGCGAAAAGGTGGGGGTGGTGGGGAGAAGGTGGTGCCTTTTTTTTGGGAGGGCTGTTGGGGGGGTTGGGGGGTTTTCAGGTTTTCGCGGTGCAAAGCGCATTTCCCATTTGCGAATGCACTCGACTGCCGACGTCAGCGCCGCTTCTGCGTCACGAGCCGCGCCCAGGGCTTGGGCTCGGCTTGGCTGCGCTGCGGCGCTGCGGCGCGGCGTCTGTGGGTGCGGGGGAGGCGAATGAGGCAGGGGGGAGGCTCTGAATGGGGGGGAGGGTGCAAAATGTCCAGGATGTCCGAGGAACATTTGGTTTTGGCATACGTTCCATTGCTCATTCTTGCGCTCTAAACTCCAGCTTGAGCTCGAAGGGATGGCCGATTCTTTTTGCGTTGCGTGAATTGTTTTGATTGTCGAAAGGGAGCCTCTGAGGGCCTCAAGCTTCGCTCCAGCTTGTGAAGTTCCAGACCGCTCAATGCCCTCCATGCCAGAGGGCGGCCCGGGACGTGGCGGGCCGCCAGCGCTGGCGCGGCGTGGTGCGGCTGAGCGGCCAGGTGACGGTGCCGCGGGGCGCGCAGCTCACGGTGCTGCCCCACACCGCGCGGGGCCCGGGCTGTCGGACGTGGGAAGTCGGGCGCGGGACTCGACGGGCTTGGGGAGTGATTTGGGCACCAGAATCGCCGACAAGGCTTCTGATCTTTGCACACCTTCTAGTAAAGGTGGGCTGGGATGACATAGAATCAGGCGAGTTCCCCCACGCTTGCTTTTTTTTCTTCTTTTTCTCATGCCATTGAGTTGAAGCTGCTTTTCGGACCTCAGATGGCGCGTGTGTTGGCCGAGTGGCGCCGGCAGAGGTGTTGCTCATGGCTCCGGGAGCGGTGCTGCGGGTGGAGGGCCGCCTGGAGATGCTGGGCACGGAGGCTCCGTGCGGTCGGGGTATCAGGTTGTGTGCTGGATTGAAGGCAGGGGCCACGGGATATTGCTCTCTTCCGTGGCATTTACTAAGTGCCCAATGGAATCCATTCTGAGATGAGATGAGATGAGATGATGTGGAACACTGGTAGCTTCCATGATCTTGAAGATCATGGAAGCTACCGGTGTTTCATTGCTGATCTTCCTTCCATGCTCTCATCGTGCTTCGTTCATTGTGCTTAGATCATTGCTTCGCAGCTATCCGTTGAAGTTTGTGGTTATTTGCATGGGGAGCCGACCATGCTTTGGAATGACAGAGCCCGTCATGCTGCACAACCTGATAGCTTCTTCCCGAGCAAGTGGCTTTTTGCAGTGTTTTGTGGTTGCAATTCCAGCCTGGAGTCAAGTTTCAAGCACGGGTGCCGTTGCACATGTTCGGAGCTACCCAATCCTGCCATGTGTCGAAGCAAGCTTCAAGGGGTATCCTTTTGGCAACCCAAAAACTCGGCCGCCCAATGCCGCTAGTCTTTGTGCAACCTGCCTTGGCGCTCTGCTTATGCATCTTGTCGTGCCGCTCTGCAGATTCACGTAGTGGGACCAGTCAGTCAGGCAGTCAGTCAGGCCCCTGGCTGGCTCGACTGTGGGATTGCAGGGACCCTGATTTGTGATGCCAGAACTAAGGCAAGCAGTAATTTGACAGGAAGTTTATGTCTGGCTGGCATGTGATTTCAGCTGGTCTCCACTTGATAGGCACTGCGGACTACGTTGAAACTTGCCAGTGGGGTCAACGGAACAGATTCGGCCTGTATTCTCAACACGTTCAATTACCAACGCAGGGCCCTGGTGGCCCCATCTTAACACGTGGCCATGGGTCAAAAGCCACCCCCAGTGAACATCCCAATCCCCACTAAAATAGACCAAACATGGGTGGTGCACCTGCCCCAAAATGGTACCATTGGTTTTGACAACCACAGCCATGTGTTTGTGTGAAGCTCGCAAACTTTGGCCCAGCCCCCGAGGACGCAGTCATCTCAGTTGCGGCTCTGACCAGCCGGGCGTGGGGGGAGATCTCCGTCACTGATGCCACCGCCGTGATGCAGCACGTGCACATCACCGGTGCCTCGACATGGGTCAACGCCAATGGTACCATTTTCGGGTAGGTGCACCAGTGCACTACCCATTTTAGTCTATTTTAGGGGGGATTGGGATGTTCACTGGGGGTGCGGGATTTGACCCATGACCATTTGGACATCCGGACATGCGGACTATTTGTGTTGCTTCACGAGCACTATGCACCTGTCACACGGCGGGCTATCAGGATTGCCATCCACCGAGTGACCCTTGCCTCCAGCAAGACATGAGTGCTCAGGTACAAACAACGATCAGCAAGATTAGTGCCGCTTCGAACCAGAAATGTTTGCCAATCTTTCGGGCAAGGGACGCGAGACTAACTTTGTGGAAGCTGGCAGTTTACTGTCTCCCGATAGCTTGTGCCTTGCAGCTTGACGAGAGGGTGTGTGTGTGTGTGTGTGTGTGTGTGTGTGTGTGTGTGTGCGTGTTTTCCGATGCTGTTGGAACAGGAGGAGTTTGCTGACAAAGTTGGGCAGCCGGGTAGAAAGTACTGCATCAAGTCAAATGCAAAAGAGAGCTTGTGGCAACTTGTGGCCTAGTCACAATCAAACTTGGGTCCCAACTCTTCAAACCCTCGCAGAAATCGTTCCGCTTCGCAGGCGGCGGCGGGGGCGGAGACGACTGGGGCCACGGTAACGCGCGGCCCATGCTGCGGCTTCGGCGCAGCTCGCTGCTGTTGGCGAGCGCCGTGGTGTCCGATGGGGGGAAGGGCCTCGCAGCGGAGGAAAGCCGCGTGAGCCTCAAGGCGCGTGGAAATGAAGAGAGCGTTTCTTGAAGGGAAAAGGGTGTTGTTATCCCAAAGGGTTTTGTGTTATGTTCCCTCCTGTAGCCGAACAGGCCGCGGGTAAGGTAGTGATGTGTTCAACCTAAACCTCAACCCCAACGCTCCCTAAACGAACCCTAGCCCCACCTTAAATCCACCATAAACCAACCCTGAACAAACCCTAAACCCACCCGAAACCAACCATAAACCCACTAACCCTCACCTGAAAGCGCCAACAGCCCGCTGGTGATGCTACGGGTGTTTAAATCGATGCAGGAGTGTTAAAAGGATGCTAGCAATGCTGATGGTGCTGATGTACCTGCATCTTTTTTTGTCAGGCAAAGACAATGATGCGACAAAAACAACAACCCGGACTTTCTTTGGTAGTTGTTGCCAATCTGGGGTCGAAAGCTGGTGCAATTCTCTCTTGAAATACTAGAACCAAAAAAGCGGATTTGGGGTCGAAAACTGGGGTAGTTCTCTCTAGACACCGGCAAACAGAGGGATTTTTCCTCGCCAGGCAACTAGAAAAGCCACGGAAATCTCAGCTTCGAATCTCCAGGATGTGGTCCTGGCTCGCCTGGCGCTGGGCGCGGAGCTCCACGGGTGCTGCCTGGAGGAAGGGGCAAAAGGGGTGCTGCCTGGGGGATGGGGGGATTGGGGGGAT